TGTGGAAGTTGAAGAGGGTGTCAGATCTTCTGGAACCTGAGTTACAGGCAGTTGTACGCCTCCTGTCACCAGTGCTGGGAACCAAGCCCAGTCCTCTGGAAGAACAACAGGTACTCTTATCCTCTGAACCATCTCCCTAGGCACTGATTTATACTTTTTAATTTAAAATCTCAGCATTTTGTTCTATATCACACAGGAATGAGAAGAGGTGAAGGAGGTACAGAACTCTATTTTCTGAGTCTTTTTGCATTTTTCTATTTTATTAAACTTCCCTTAACAAACTTTTGTTTCAAAAGTCCAAGGTTATTTTCCATTGCAATTCACAATCTACCTTCTCCCCTTGACTTCCTAAACACCCCGTACCTAGCATTAAGGAAGTGCTTACTAATCAAGGTGACTTGCAATCTCCTTATTTTTCAAGTGTGAACACTGCTCAGTGTATAGGAGACTCACCTGTGCTTGATGCCATGCATACTCGTACCTTCAGCGGTCCCCCTTGGCTTCCTTACAGTGTCTCCTGGTCTAACATCTTGTACCATCATTCCTCAGTCTCCTTCTGGAACTACTCTTGATCTTTCTTCCTTCCCTCATTTATGACCCTATTCTTCCATCCAAGTATTTTAAAAAAATGTTTATATGTTCCCTCAGATGGTCACACCCCCAGCCTCAACCACCACTGACTGGTACTGCAACTCCCAAATATATTCCCAACCTCTATTTTGAATATGAGACTCCAATTTCTGCCTGTCTCTTCTATGTTTCTGTGAGACTTTAGGCTACTTATAAAGCCCAATTCAGGTTCATCCTACTTTTCCTGAGGCACATTTCCCCTAGAATCTCCTCAATTAGCCCCTGTACCTGATGCAGTCATTTCGCCACACTTACCCAGTGCCCACCTTAGCCTAGTATCCCTCAGATACATTTTTTTTTTTTTTTTGCCTTTTCAACAGGCTTGTTCCCAGGCTGCTGTGCCAGTTGATGTCAGGTTTAGTGACCAATACGAAGCCCACGTAGAAGATTATAGAGCAAGGGGAAAGGAGAAACCAGGACTTTACATGCACACATGTACACACAGGCCACCACATGATAGCCAAGAGCTTGCTGTTTTATATGTGAACTCTGTATCAAACACTTCACCCTCTTTTTTCCCAGAGAAATTTCATCCATTCTTGACACTCCACCATCTCCACTACAGATGACTTACACCCTGTCTTCCATCATTTGTCTTCCTCAAATTTCAACAAATATTTACTTATAACCAGGCATGGTTGCATGCACCTTTAATCCCCGCACTTGGGAGGTAGAGGCAGGTGAATCTCTGTGAGTTCAAAGCCAGCCTGGTCTACAAAGTGAGTTCCAGGCCAGTTGGGGCTACAAGGAGACTCTGCCTCAAAAAGACCAAAAAAATCTTTACTTACATATGTCCTAAGAAAAGTATAAAGTCTTTTGGGACTTCGTGTCACCTCAGTCAACCCATTCTCTACACTGTTTCAGAATGAGAAGCAGATATCATCTCCCCATTTAAAATAAGGCATACATCTTTAAAGGAAGATCAGTTATAAACAGGTCTTTATGGATAGATCATGGCATCATGGAACACACCATAGTGAGACTTGGCAATACCTGATTAGCACAAGGATGGCACTAAATACTAGACCCAAAGGCTATGCCAGGCACCAGTAGTCCAAGAGGTAGGGTAGCCTGTTTAAGTCAGCATGGAGCCAGGCACATGGAGTCAACCATACAGCAGAGAGGGGCGCTTTAGAGAAAGGGCGAAGAGTAAAGTGTTAGGGAAAACATGCTTACAACAAAAGCAGAAGGAAAGGCACTTTGTACTGAAAAGTGGACAGACTTATTCCCAGCAGCGATATGGTGACTAACAACTGTCCATAACTCCAGTTCCAGGGAACCAATGCCCTCTTCTGACCTCCGCAGGCATTGTAATACAGAGGTACACTTACATATATGCAAGCAACACACTCAAGCACATAAGGCTTTTTTAAGACTACTGTAATACTAGAATCTAGAATCAATAAGAGGATGGGGTGCCAAGATTGTTGTTGGAACAGCAGAGCAATTGGGAACTGAACAGGGAAGAGCAAGCACTCTGGATGTTGATGCCCGTACTTCTCACTTCCCCGGGTACCCTTAAATAAACCCCTACTTATAATGCTTATATTTCTCTTACAACGTAGCCAAAAATCACTCATTCCTAATATTCATCTGAGGCTTTGGGACATTTTAGGCAATGGTTTCTTTTGACATCAGTCTTTTTCTTGAGTGTTGGGATTAAAGACATGGGCCACCTCTCCGGACCCTTGCCTACTTACCAAAGCCCTCATGTTGTTTCTTGCTTGTAACACTGCTGAGTTGTAGTTCTGCCCAAAGGAAAGAATGAGCACTTTTTTCCTTAATGACCTGTATAGACTCCGTTGTGATCATTGTTCTTACATGACAGTGCCTTTCTGTTTACTGTGCCCTGTGCCTGAAATTCCCTAGAAAAGGGAGGTCTTTTTACTCTCAATATTGATGGTGTTCGAGAGACCTCACTCTGGCCTCCCCTTGGCTCCCTAATCTGTCTTCCTCACTGGATGAATTCTGATGCTATAATACATAGAACATGGTATAGCAGATAGGCAGAGTAAAGAGTGGCGAGCATGGGCACTAACCAAAGGGACCGTTGCAGAGGAAGCACTCCACAGACAGTGTGGACGACAGCCAGAGAGGCCAGTACGTAGACCTGCGTATTCAGGAAGGCCTTATACAAACTTCTAAACTCTTTGGAACAGAGAGCTTTCCTGAGGGCATTTTCCTGCCCAGGTGATTGACAGGCCCATTTGGATTTACTCTTCTTTGAGAGAGAAGACAATAGTATGTGTATGTTGTTTAACAGCAAGCTGTATCTCTTCCCAGGACCAGAGATATGCCTCATTCTTTTGTGCAAAAATCATATAACACAGTAGAGTTTTTTTAACTAAAGAAAAAAAGCTGTTAAAATATCCATGCTTTTCCAGAGGAACACAGCCTTCCTTTCATAGGCCTCAGCAAATCCTTGTTTCCTCCATCTCCCTCCCTTTCATGTTTCAAACTCTATGGAAAGCCACTGTGATGCTTTCTCTTTCCTTAAAATTAATGTGTTACCAGGGACACCAAAAGTGGGGTCCAAAGTGCATTATGAGGGAGGAGTTGGTTCTCAATGACCTTCAAGCCTTTTTTCTTTCATTAAAAAAAAATATTTATTTTTTATGTGTATGTGTAAGTACCTACATGTATGTGTAGCACACTCATGCTTGGTGCCCATGAAGGTCAGAAGAGGGTGCTGAATCCCCCGGAATTGGAGTTCCAGGCATTGTGAGCCAGGGTGTGGGTGTTGGGAACCGAACCCAGGTCCTAGTCAAAAGCAGCAAGTTCCCTTTAACTGCTGAGCCATCTCTCCAGCTCCTAGCCTTCTAATTTTTACCTAACAAAAGTTATTCATTTTGCCCTCAAACAGTAACCTTTTTTCCCTTTCGGAACTGTAGAGTTCATAATACAGTATAGGAGACTTTGATTCTTCACTAAGAATATTAGAGGTGAGAAATAAACTTGGAAGTCAAGTTTATTTGAACGAAACATCTCAGCCCTTAGGGGTTGGGAGATTATACACATAGGGTAAAAGAAACAAGGAAGGATGGGCCAGGAAAGAGAAGGAATTCTAGTGACTTTTTCGGGAATGTGGAGATTTTCTGGACATTTTGAGCCCCTCTTTTTTCAGCTGTATTATTACTGGAGATGTCATTTAACATGTAAATGAGATTAAATGAAGTTAGAGGTTGTCTGGGGGTCACTCTGGCAGCTATGTTAGAGCTAATGGATTTTGATTGGCTGACCTAAGAGAGACTTCTGGCCTACAGGCATCCTGTCCTTAAGGATAAACACTAGGGTTGGATAGACATTCCGTTAGGCCATCTAGGCAGTACTTAGGATAACAATATTCTTTAACATCCCTCTCTTTCTGTTTCACCCAACAGGCAAGTAAATGTTTGGGCTCTGCTTCTCTGACACTAAAACAAGCTTATCAGTGTTTTAAAATCTGCATGCCATTCTTTCTCATTTGGCCCAGAAGCTACAGGACAAAGATTCTAACTAGTTTACCCCCATGTGTTCATGCTTAGAGTACCCAAAAGGAATCCAAGAAGCTACTATATCCATTGGAGGACAGCTTGCCCAATTTCTGAGAGATCTCAAGGAACTACTTGGTAAAATGGAAAACAATTCAGAGCCAAGTTCCAGGCCTGATTTTGAAGCACTTTAAGCCTTCTGTGTCCTATTTTCTATATCTACAAATGTTGAATATTTGGGAGTTTTAAGGATTTGACTCAGAAAGCCTGTATCCTTGGCGTAACTGTGTATTTTTTGTTTGTTTCTCTGTCTCTGTCTCTGTCTCTGTCTTTCTCCTCTGTCTCTCTCTCCTCTCTGTCTCTGTCTCTCTCTCTCTCTCTGTCTCTCTCTCTCTCTCTCTCTCTCTCTCTCTCTCTCTCTCTCTCTCTGTTTTGCTGAGACCTGAACCTGTGTCTTCTGGAAGGGCAACAAGGGCTCCTAATCACTAAGCTATCTCTCCAGCCCTTAAGTATGTTTTAAGACAGACCCTAGAGGGACTTGCTATCACTCAGACCCCATTCCCATCCCACTCACAGCCAAAACACAGGTGCAGGTTGTTCTGGTAACATTATAGATCTGGTTATAGAGCACAGCACAGCTCTAATTCATTGTTTAATTTTGTAGGATGGAGGATGGATTTGTTACTCAAAATTCCCTCATAATCAAGGCAGGCTTGAAGATGTAACACAGATCATATCAGTCTGCAGGCCAATCCACATAAAATTTTCAAAAATATAAAATTACATTCAAATAAATAGTAAATTAGCTTATAGAGGCAATATTCTTCAGGCGCCAAACCTTAGAACAAATGTTTGCGGTTTACTCTTAGCTACTTAAAATAAATTCAAAGACAAGAGAACAACATGTAGAATTGAGTTTTATTCAAAATGCATGTATATCAATATAAAATGAGTTTGACTGATGGATCTAAACTGGTTAAAACCCAAAACAGACCACATAAAACAAAGAGTGGCCACTACTTCCCATGTTTCTCATCCATAACAAGACTTTTGCCATTGCTGTAACTTGATGTTGCTGAAAAAGTTTGAAATCTTTGACACTAACAATATAAAAATAAAAAATAGATTCAAAAAAACAAACGAATACAACAAATCCATACTTACTTGCTTGTCCTTAGAAGAATGCATGTCTAGCCAGGACAAAGATCAGGAGTGTACAGACACACACTCATCAAATGAATTTAATTTTGTAGGAATCATCAGAAGAAAAGTGCATGATACGCACTGATTCTCCACAAAGGGTTATTCATCTGTCAAATGTAAGGATGTGGCCCCGTTTGGTTGGCACTTCTTTGACATGTTTGCCTTCTCTTCTCACAATTACAGATCCTCATTTGAGCTCAAGTTGGTCAGGCTTAGCATTAGCAGCAGATGCCTTCACCCACTGAGCCGTCTCACTGGCTAGACCCTTATTTGAGAGTAAGAACCTTAGCTAAATGTCTGAACAGGTCCCTGTACCCCATCTTTCTCAAAGCCCCACTTTTCTGCCATATTTTTGGAAGCTGCCTTTCTACACCCCACAATTCCAGTGGTCTATGCAAGACTTGCACCACTTCAACATTGCCTTCCAGTCCGCATGCCTACTCACTGCCCTTGCACTGCTCTGGCCCCTAAACCACTTGCATTTACCTGACATAGATTCCCTTGTATTCATGATACAAGGGGCTGTAGTCTGTGTCCATGCGTTTGTCCACGCTACCCCCTACCTGCAGAATGACCTGCCTCAAATCTGTCCTATCCTTCATGTCTTAGTACCTACTCTGACTTGTCATATCATTTAAATCTGTGCCTTCAATTAGCTCTAGTCAGATGCCAGTCACTGAACTTTAATACATCTATGTCTATGAGGTCATATACTTTCATGGAGGTCTGTGTCTTATAGCTCTTCATTCCTTACCATAGACTACTTCTTGAGACATGCATTAGCTCATCTTAAACCCATCTAGTTCTTTTGGCCTTCATCTATGGCAAAGAACAAAATAAGCAATGAACAACTTTGTCAGATACAACTTGGCTATCACTATATAAGATGGGCTAGAAATACTGTAATATAAGGATTTGGGGTCATAAGGATGAACTTGACTAATAAAGTCCACAGAAATTTGTGACCTGCCTGCCTCAAGTTAGAAGACAAATTATTGGCCCAGGGTTTCTTCCATAACCACCATCAAGAAGGTATGTTTTTCTTTCTACCTTGCTAAGCAACTAATCAAACTGAAACAACAAAACAGATATCCTCTCTTCTAAAGGGGCTTCTAAAGGGGCTGAGCAATTCTGGTGTTGTGGAACATTTAACAAGCCAAACCTCCTTTCCTGTTCCCTCTTCCCAATGGCAGCTGAATACAGCAGTGTGACAGAACCACCTCACACGGTTTCTTACCTTTGGACTTGCGCTGCCTCTTTCAAATAGAATGCCTCTGACCCTTCAGGAAAGCTTACTTGGCCCTCTCCCTGGTGACCATAGCACTATATACATACTATTATATAACTAGATGAAAAATAATTGCAATTCTAGAAAATAAAATTGTAACCGTTCAGTGCTTAACATGGAGTGAACATCCCAGTGAATGATGAACTGACTCTTGATTTATGATGCAAAGTGAGTCAAGTTTATGTTCATTCCAACCCTAAGAACTTTCTAAGTGTTTAAGGAGGCATCGTCTTTCAACACAGATTTAATTTCAAACAGAATTTTCTGCTACCTGCAATACTAAAATCTAAAATAAAAGTTATTTTGTGAGGCCATTATATTTTAAGAAATAACTTCAGTTAAACAATTGCTACAAGGTGAGATGTGAAAAGCCATTAACACAGTGGTCTCATAGTGCACAGACACACAAGATGACTTAAGTTTTGAGAATAGACCTATAGAACACCTGCATTCCTTGATGTTGCTATTTAATGCTAAGTGGTGTAAAACATTTAAATAGGTAAATGTTTAGTTTGAATAATTAAACATGAAGTTTATTATCATGACACTCCAATTAAGTTTGTAGTGAGAAAACTTGGGACACACTCCTATAAGAATCGTTGTTTTATGATTCTTTTTTGATTTGGTGAGATTGGGTCTCATGTAGCCCAGACTGGCTTTGAAGACTCCCTATGTAGTGGAGCCTGGTCTTAAATGCCCAATCCTCTTGCCTCCATATCCTAAGCATTGGATTAAAGGCATGCACCACCAGGCTTGTCTGTTTTATGATTCTGATAACAAAGAAATGTTTTTGAGACAGAGTCTTCCTCTTCAGCCCATACTATCCTGGAACTCTAAATCTGCTGCCTAAGCCTTCTAAGTGCTGGGATTATATGCATGTATTATGTCTGATAAAACAGTTCCAATACTTAAAGTGCAATTCTAGCCTTTGGCATCATTTTTAGAATTTAGTAATTTTTGCCAAAATCTTCAACATTGTTACCTCTCAACTTTGTGATTATAATGGGTTCAGTGAAATTGGCTTCCAGGCCTAGTATTACTAAAATTATGTCAGAGTAATTTCCTTTGGTATTTGGCTTTATATACTGCTGTGGCATTCTTCTGTTAAATTCATAAACTATACTTAGAAATAAAGTAAAAAAGTTGACCATAAATCAAATCTGAGTTGACTTATAAAGGATATTGGTAAGTTCAAAAGCTAACTACCCAGTGACATTCAAGGGCACAGGAAAACAGACTGGGCTTGTTTTTATGTTCAAATCTGAATTTTTTCAGTAATAATCACAAAAAACAATTTGCCTATTATATCTATGCAATTTCAGATATCTTCATATTTATTTGACACACACAAACATAAATACTGGGATTACTTCAATCCAATACCTATTTACCTCTCAGAAATTTTAAAAGTAGTCATACTGGCATACAAAAAGGGAACAAAAGCCAACCAGACCAGTCAGTATATAAATCTGAATAGTTATAGTTGCTATTTTGCAGAAAAACAGATTTCTATGCTTTCTGGTCAGTTCCTCTTTTCATTAAGCTTCAAATTTGGTAATACTGGTTTAAAGACATGAAAATAAAATATCCTTGACTTACTTGGAATATGTACTACAGAATAATAGAATGTGAGCTATGGTTTCTTTTGGGTTAATTATCAAACATGTTTTTGTAGTAATGGGGAAATAGCCTTTCAAATTAATACCAATCATTTAGTAAGCAGAATAGATTTACAAGAAAGTTAGTGATCTCAATTGGTAAGTCTTTCAGTCCTCAAATTTAGGGTTGACAGAAGACTGATTATAGAAGAAAAAAATAGCCCAAATAATTTCTTGTGGCTATCAGCTTAGGGTATGGTTTCTGGTACTGCTGAGCACTGTCACAAGGTGTCACACTACCAATTTTGGCATAGTGCTTTGCAGCAAACTTGCCTGAGAAGACTCAGAGAGCCTTTGTTCCTGGGCTTACATGGTAAGCATTTTGCATGACTCTTAATCACATTTTTATCCAGAACACAGTGTTTCAGGTCATATTTTCTCAATAATTCTTATAATTATTTGTGCTTTATAAATATAAACCTATTTACATGCAAAATACATATACATTGATGTGGGGATAGGAAGCTAGTCAGACATCATCCATAGGCAGAATGGGATGCAGATTGCAGGAAGGGTCATATATGATGTGAGGCCTGTGTAGATGATGGATACCAATCCCAACACAGCTGAAGCAAGAAAACTTCTCTGATCACGAATGATTATCTTCACAATCTCATAAAACTGGAAAATAAAAGTTAAAAATATTAAGAAAGGTGGCTTTAAAAAAAGTCACATATTCCAAAGGTTTAAGTCATTTCCCAATTGTTTTGTGCATAAAATCAATGTCACTGGATTGTCATATCCCTTTCCCTGGCTGAATTCATCATCAATTATGTGACACATAGATAGAGGGAAATTCAGTATGATCCCCCACTCCCCAGAGACATTCTTCTGTGTCATTTTTTTTCCTTACAAAAACAATTGTACTTGGAAGTAATGTCCCATGTCAAAGTGTCCTGGTTCTATCTCGTATTGGTTGTATGATCTCGAGCCAGTCACTTAACCTGTCTAGACTCCCCTCTTCTTCATGTTATACCTGAAGATCCGATGAGATCTTTCATGTAAAAGAGTAGTCAGTTCTCCCTCATATGTGGATCCTAGCACCAAATCCTGGTAAGTGAGTATGTATCCAGACATAGCTACAGGAACCAGGATAATGAAAAGGAACCAGGGAGGTAAAGGAAAAGAAAGAATCTGAGAGAGAAGAAGAGTAGGAAACAGGTGTTAATAGGGGAGATATGGATAAAAATGGGGTTAGTTTAAGGGGAGCAGGGAGGGAAGGGTATACAAGGAACCTATGGGGATAAAGGGAAAGAAGGAGGTCAAGAGAGGTGGGACCATAGGAGAAGGATATTATTAAGGGAGAAATGGGAAAAATGGGGGCACCTTAAATGGGGAAACCATGGTGGAAGGATTAGACAATGAGAGAGATAAATAATGCCTAGCTAGTTTTTAAAAGTCAGAAGGAACCATATTAGTCCAACAACCCACTGACAAATTATACATACAACTACATCAAAGAATATATTTGTCTAGGCAAGGTATATCTGAGAGCGTTTGGTCTTTGCCCAAGCTTTATCTACATGGCACATGGTACTTAAAATTACCAGACTGGTGGAACTAACATTCTTGGATGTTTAACAGCCATACTTTGAGGCCTATAATAATTTGGTCAGAGGGACATAAAGGGCAGTTTTTGCTCCTTGCCCTCCTAG